ACCCAGTCAATGCTACCTCCCTATTCTCCCTCTCCCCAGCCCCTGGCCACCAACATTCTACCTTCTGTCTCTATAAATTTGACTCCTCTAGGTACCCTGTATACCTCACATGCTGTGGAATCATACATTATTCGTCCTTTTGTGGCTGGCTCATTTCAGTCAGCATAATATCCTCAGGGTTCTACCATGTTGCAAGATGTGTCAAAATTCTTTCTTTTCTAAGGATGAATAATAGTCCAATTGTATGCATATGTCACATTTTGCTTATCCATTCATCCTTCATGGACATTGGGGTTGTTTGCACACACTGGCTCTAAGTCTTGCTTTTGATTCATAGTTAGAACTTATTGATGAGAAGCACATGTATTATACAGGCTGTGGCTAAAGTTTTATTTCCTATTTGGATACCTTAAATATTTCTTTTTTTTAAAAGATGACAGGTTAAGGGGATCTTAACCTTTGACTTGGTGTTGTCAGCACCATGCTCTCCCAAGTGAGCTAACNCATTAGGAAGTCTGCATGATTAAGAGCTTTGAATAAAACCATGATGCCCCCTCATCAAACACGAACGTTTGAAGTCATAAACTAATTGCCTTCAGAAGTCATAAACTTATTCCCGTTATTTTCTCGTTAGATAGTCACATCGGGGTGTGAACATGACCTCATTATCCCCTTCTAGAGATGAAGACATTTAGATTCAGAAAAGTCAGCAAGAACTAATAAGTTTCAGAGGGAACAGTTGACACCAGGCTTTCTTATCCTGAGTGCAGCCTTTTTTCATGGCTAGCCTAGTCCTATCATCTTCTAAGTGTCCCTGATGAGTGGCCAATACTGACTCCTCTGGGGATGGAGAGCTCGCCAACTAGCAGGGCATTCTTTTCCATTGGAAAAGTGTCATTGGGCCGAGCCCGTGGCGCACTCGGGAGAGTGTGGCATGGGGAGCGCAGCAGCGCTCCTGCCGCGGGTTCGGATCCCATATAGGTATGACCGGTGCGCTCACAGCACTCACTGGCTGAGTGTGGTGCGGCCAGTCTCAAAAAGGACAAAAAAAAAAAAAAGGAAAAGTGTCATTAATTGGAGTTTCTTCTTTTTTCAAAAGAATAGGATTGGAGGGTTCTATCTGGGGTCTCTTCCTACCAAGTAGCTTGTTGAAGACCTCGTGGTGCTCAGGGAGCACTGATGACACCCGCTGTCTCTTCAGCTTCATCTTGAGCCCACACAGCGTCTCCACGACCCAGACGCTGTTTTCGTCGGGCACTAGCTCCTCCTCTGTCTCCTCCTCGAAAGCCACCGACCATTCCCTGATTCCCTCTTCCTCTTCTGGCCAGGGGACAGAGGCACAGGGCTGGGATCTACCCAAGGGGCTGAAGAAAGAAACCAGGCTCCAGTGTAAAGCTTCTGTCTTTGGAATCCAGCCACTTGTCATCTAACCCCTGCCCCCTGCCAGAAAACACCGCAAGCCTCTGCTCCATCTTCTTCAGGCCTCAAAACTGTTGGCTTTCTCCAAAGCCATCTTTCCATCTTTCTCCCTTGTCGCTAACTTATCTGTCCCCACTCACCTTGCCATGGATCCATCTCCCTGTCCTCAAAACTCTTCCTCCTGTGTCCTCAAAACTCTTCCTCATCCAAGATAATTACTTCCATGGGGATAAAGCAGGGAAACCTCTGCTTGAGGCCCCTCTTCCCTTTTCTCAGTTTTCCTTGC